TATAACTTTGCAAATTAAAATCGTGACGTCTAGTACCTTCGTCAAAGTGATATGCATAATTGATGTGAGGGCTCTGCATTCGGGATTTTGAAATTTGAATTTTGTACCAATTTTGGTAAAATAAAAGAATATAAATCACTGTTATTAAAGTGTCTATAGGCACGTGTGAAAAAGAAAATGAAAAGTTTTGGAATAATCTGGTAGGGTTGTTTTAAAGTTGTGATTATTCTTTTCACTGTGTCGCTTGCGCGTTTAGTTTTGTGTTTCAATGTGTAATGAAAGTTTTAATTAGACATACCTACAAGATAAATAATTTAGTTCCTTCATAAATATTCCTACAATGAGTCTTATAAAAAATGGTTTCACTGGAAACGTGTTTTCGTTACGGCCAAATTCTTTTGAAAGAAATCAATTGAGTGGCAAAATTGTATGGAAGAGGTTACGGCTCTAATACGAGTATGTTATGGCGGCTATAAGTTGTGGCAGTGGGCTAGTGAATATATCGATAGAAAACGGACAAGTAAGAGATGACGTATAGTCTAAGGTTCCGTAAGAATATAGATACCCATATTTTTCTGTTATCTTATAATGATTTAAAAATTTCACTGATCGAATGATATTTGTTAGTGCCTTTATTGTGTTACATACCCAAAATGTGGGTGTATGTTTACGAATCTGTTAGGTTTTTTTTTTTCATTTCGAGATCCTTCATTGTGTCTAAGCCCAAAAGTGTGTTTAGATATTATTTCGTCTTTACTATTTTATTTTGATTGATAAAATTTACTATTTAGCATAACTGTAAAGTCATGCATGAGGCTACCACTATGTAAAATTATTTTCTCGTAAATAAAGATAAGGCTACAGATATTACCCATATTACCCATATGAGACAAGTTATAGACAGCTAATTTTACTCGTACGTTACTTGCACTTAATTGCCTGCCAGTCCATACTACTTCAAGACTAACTAAAGAATAGATAGAGACTTGCTTGCAAAGAGGAAATTGAATGTGTATCACCTTTATTATGTTACTCAAGCTTTCATGGAAAGCTGTTATAGGTACGAGTAATACAAATTTGTAACATAACTTCATGTTGTGAAAAGATAACTATTTTTTGTTAATATTATAGCCATGTAGGTTACTTATACTTACCAAACCACAGGGTTAATAATTTTTCAGTGACATTTTTATGTAAGTTTTAGACCTCCACTTTTATTATTAAGGGACCCCTAAAATCAGGTCGCGCTCTTTCCACATCATGACTGAATTCTTTTTACTTTTTTCTGTAGGGATTTACATATCTTCTGCTTAATCGTGCGTCTGAAATCACATTTCGGAGTTATGAAATAGCAAAATAGGGGTGGAACCATCCACAAATCAGGGTTGGCAGTTCACTGAAAACTTGTATGTTACGCTAAATTTTAAACAAACAGTTTAATGTTGTGAGCTGTTATTAACTTGAACAGCAGTGCTTTTAGTGCGTAAAAACAGTTAAATAAATTAATCGACAAATCCCACTGCTTTTTTAAAGGTTTTGATGTAACGACATAAATGCTGAAAAATAAACACCCAATTCTCATTTCCAAGAAAAACCAACATGACGTCAAATTCTCAGTTCAGTGTTTAAGTTTCACCTTCTTTCTTACACATTGTGTGGTATAAGCAACTTCTTCTCGCCTGCAACCAAGCGATAAAGAAAATAATATTCGAAACAAACGAGTTCTCTGCCAAAATTCACATAAAACTTTCATCAATGTCAACCAAGAATCACTTCAAACAACGCATTTTGGGTCGCACCACACACGTATATTGCGACCGCATTGTTTCACCCCTAATTTTTGACATGACTCGACGCGTCCGAAATTGAAAAAGTTGGTAGCCCTGTAGGGACATAATATATCGTGTCTCTAATTTGAATAGGCGTAGGGCCGCTCTCTCTCTCTCTTGACTGAAGGTCGGTTCTGTCACATAAATTCCTAGTTTATATGTCCGGTTACTATATCACCCGCGTTGACCCTAGCCAGATAGGAACCATAAAAATATAACTACGGAACGTGACTTAATACGAACGGGAAATGGGATTGAATAAAATGTGGAACAAATAGAGAGATAAAGCCTCTTTGGATAAATATGCGAAATCAGTTTGCGGTTTTATTTATTTCTTTTGTGTTTCCGCGGTGTGTTTGGGTAAACGCGGTCTGTGAATTGTATTCGTTTCGTGCAAGTTTTGATTTCAGTGTATCTTTTTTCGTCTCTTTGTTATGGTGAAAGAAAATATTTGTCCTTTTTGCTAACAAAATCCTCCTTGTTTGATGATAATATACGTACATTACGTGAAGCTACCTAATATACAAAGAAACAACGCTAGGGTAAATAGGAGAAGTTCTTGAAGTACTATCCTGAATCCTCAAAGCACGAAAAACATTACAGCGGTTGTCTAAAATAGATCCAGTTATCAATAACATTCATCAGTCCTTCATTTAAGTATCCTGTTACCATAGCAATCTAAGTTTCAATTATGAAACTAATTTTACCGAAATTCTTGAATACAAATAGATTTCAAGGAATTCATCGCCTTTGAATCAGAACTTTGATGTTTGCTTAATGTTCTAAATGTTTTATGAAAAATTGGTCAAGACTACCTGAGCAGTTACTTTATACATTTTAGTATTAATTTACATAATTGGAAAAAAGGAAAAATAAGGAATCTGTAATGTGTTTTGAGACTCGATAACAGGTGTATTTTGTCAAAATAAATACAAATTTTCTAAGCATAGAAATTCCAAGAAAGTTTCATTAATGTTGAAAATAGCTTGAAAAGTTTCCCAGAAGCATTTTAAATCCGAGGAAAACGAATGACGCCTTTTCTTTGTAATATGGATATACAGATTAAGTCGACCTGCTAACACCGATTGTTTTTATACGTAACTTGCGACCCATGCATGTATTATAGATACCTACTTAAACCTTCCTCTTATTACCACTCCATCTATTGCTGAAAACTGTTTGCAAATTATTCAGTACCTTCGTAGTTTAAAAGATTTAAACTGTTTAAACGCACAGACAGCGGGAGCGACTTTATTTTGTTCTATGTTAGGATGAAGCTTTTTTCTTTCAAATAATAATCATCATCAGCTTTCCATGTTGCCCGGTTGGTAGCAGCCTGCGTCCAGCGCCTTTCTGCTACTTTTACGATATGTCGTCGGTCCACCTTGTGGGTACTGCGGCGTTTCTGGCGGTTTTCTTTCTAATATAGGTATTGATTTTTAATCATATTCCTGCACACTAGATGACGATGACGCAAAGTACCTACCTAGTTTTTTTTTCACAACAACTTTTGTTGTTATATGTCATCGTTGTTATTAACTAATAATAAATTGCAAAATATTCTAGCTAACCGTATCCCAATACATTCAAATCCCATTTGACAAACTGGTTGTAATTTTAACGGGAACAGGATAATGTAAAATGAGAGAATAATGCCCGGGAAGAGGAAATCCCGGCGATAAGCGGCCTAGGATAATTTGACTCTGAGTGGGAGCCAACTGTATTATAACAACATTATTATGGAAACTATACGGCTTATTAAGTTCAGCTTTGAAGGAACACCGGGAATATTTCCGCGGAGAATTATTACGCCCTAGTTCTTCATTTTTCTACGCCTGGTTCGGTAAAATCTTCGTTTTCGTTTGGAGTTAGATGGATGCTTGATAGCTACTGAACTGCTATACCGACTGTGTGGAGTTTCAACATGCAACTCTCACGTGGGACGAATTTTTGGCTATGAGTTTTATACTTCACTAGCGGCCGCCCGCGACTTCGTACGCGTGGATCTCGTTTTAGCCCCTTTGGGGTTGAATTTTGCAAAATCCCGTCTTAGTGAGCACCTACGTTATAAAAGGAATTTAGGACTCCTACTACTACTAGGCACTTGAAGTTTCTGAGATTTCGTGATGAGTGAGTCAGTCAGTGACCCTTTGCTATATTAAGGTGATTAGATGCACACCTCTTATGCCTTGAACGAGTGTGAGATAACCTTATTTATGAATTTGCTTTGTCATCCAAAAAGTAACCTCCCGAATCTAACCAAAGACAACACTGAAAAGGGTCGAGCCTCATTCTTTCTGTCATCTCCTCCTTCCTCATTAATCCTTCAAGCTCCGCGAATCTAGACACAATAGATAATCAATTGTTATGACATTAATTAATGCCGTCTGGGACTCAATCGGTTAATTACTCGTACCTATATCTCACTTACGATGGAGAAGATCATAATCAGGTTAACCTTTGACACCTGAAGGAACAACGACATGACATTTTCAGGGAGCAATTGTAGGTAATCCTTGAATGACACCTGTCCACGAGCATTATTAAAAAGACAAAACATTGTCTGCTACATATTTACAGCACATTTCCTTTCTATTAATAAAAGGTGTCTATTCTCATCCATGATAAATTATCCTGAATATTATTAGACATAATTGATACGCTTTCATCTCCACATCTTGTCCCTTTTGTTGTACCAAATGAGGGATCGATCCACTGTTGCTACATTGCGTGAATTGCTCCCCAAAATTAATGGTCGAGACGTCTTATTTCACACATTCATCAATGTGAGTTTCCTCATATGTTTTCCCGATGAAGACCTTTATTTTGTATAAACGGTGGCGCAATAAATATCAGAATCTGAAATGTCTTGGCACTTTTATTGTGATTTATTTGAGGACAAAGGAAGCCTTGATGTGGTCAAAAATAATATTAAGGTTCTTTTGTAGGATATTTTTATGTTTATTGCTGCAGAAGACAGTGCATGTTCCTTTTTATGGTTAGTTATTTATCGAAGTCGTTTTTCTTAGAATATGGACCCTTTTCCCACTGGGCTTGTTCTCCTCGATCAAAAGGGTCTTAACTGAAGAATTTTGTAATGTAGCAATGTCCCTTATGTTAATGACAGCTCTGTTTGCTTACAGAACAATAACTTTTTTCTTTCTTTCACAGTGGTAAAAAGCAGTATGCGCCACCAAACAACGTCGCCACTCAGCAGAATCGGGCCCACAGCGTCTCTACGGGACGCCGAGCCGGACTTCATAGGCCCGATTGAAAACGTGACGGTCGCACTGGGCAGGGAGGCAGTGCTGACCTGTTCTGTCTCTGACTTGGGGGACTATAAGGTATGCAGCATTTGTTTTTATGACCTATAAAATATAAGGTACAACGCACCAAACCCGAGGGAATAGGCGCATTGAAAACGTGATGGTATTGGAAGAAGCTATGTTTAACCTTTAACTATAGTCGTGAAAAAATAATCACACTCTCATGGACGTCGGGTCTCACAGACCCCTATCTAAAATTCTTCATAATTTCATATCTGAACCAATTTGAATTTAACTGTTAATAAAGGATCTAGTAGTAAATGTAATCAATTTTAATCATTATTTAATTATTTTGTGGCAAATTTAAAAAACATAGTCATTTTTCAGTGTTAATTGATTTAGCATCACATATAGGCTCCTTTATTACAGTAGATTAATAATAAATCAAACTAATATTTTTTTCCTTGCTTATTAATAACCGTGTAACATAAAAACATAAACAGAATTTCTGAAAGACATAAAATAAAAATTTTGACAAGGGTTAAACTTACAAAAAATATAAACAGTGGCCTAGAACACTAAAGACAAATTATCTCTACAGGCATGTGTCATCTTTCTTTGAGAGCTTTGATAGGCAAAATATACACCATTCAGAATCGGAATCTGCAGCAATGGTACCTTCTAAGACATCTAAACTCAAAAGAAGGATTGTCTACAAGTAAAACCTTACTTCTGGAATGTTACTTAGATAGTAGGGCTAATAATATAGCTGATGTACTCAGATACTTTCTACCATTATGTATTCTTAAACTAAAACAATTTACAACATATTATAATGATATACTATAAAAAAATATAGNATCTCAATGCTCGCATCTGCCCTTGGGTATTATATGATTCCCTCTCACTAAATCAACTAATCGGTCAAATGATATTTTATTTTACACAATCTTTTACTTTATTTTAATCGCTTTATATTTGCTTTATATATGTATATACATAGTCATTATACTATTCAAAATCATGATTTAATCACTTTCACCATAGTCACTCTCAGATTCGGATTCTGTGAATCTAACCCAGGGTTTAAGTTTATCTACCGAAAACACATTTTTGTATTTCTTTTTAGAATATCCGTCCACACTACTAATCTCGTAGCGATCGTGATCAAAAACTGCCGTCACTTTAAACGGGCCACTGTAAGCTGGGACTAGTTTATTACTTTCACCGGGAGTTCTGGTACTTTTAACTGCCATAACTAAATCACCAACTTTATATACTTTTGCTTTGCATCTTTTCTTGTCGTACCGCTTTTTCATATTATGTTGTTGTTTTTCTAAGTTTGCGACGGCCTCATCTCTAGTTTGAGCTAAACTTTCAGCTGAAACCTTAGCAGTTTGGTCAATTTCGTGTAAATGACCTTCAACAGTGTTTACAGTGTTTTTACCAAAAATGATTTCACTTGGGGTTTTACCAGTGCTCTGATTGATGGTGTTATTAAGGCTCCATTGTACCTTAGTAACCTGTACGTCCCAGTCCTTATCATCATCACCGTGGCAGAGTGCTATGAGAGACGCTAAAATTGAGCGATTGTACCGCTCAATTTGTCCGTTAGCACGCGGTGTGGCGACTGCATTAAGAGTGTGTTTTGTCCCCACTGAGTCTATGTACTCTTTAAATTCCTTTGATGTAAAACTTGTACCTCGATCTGATATTAGATGTTGTGGAGTGCCAAACAAGCCGAATATGTCTCTGAGAACTGCAATTGTCGTTTTGCTTTTAGTATTCTTAACAGCTCGCAGAATTATAAATTTCGTAAAACTGTCAATAACACCAAGAATGTAGGTGTTACCTCGTTTACTTTTGATGAACGGCCCTAAATGATCCATGTGTAAACACTGAAAAGGAGTACGGGGCTTAGGGATTGGGTGTAACAATCCTTGACCCTTACCTCCAGGTTGCTTTGCATGTGCACATGGTATACACGCTCGCACGTATTTTTTCACAAATTGCGACATTCTAGGGAACCAATAGTCACGCCTTATTTTCTCGAGAGTTTTTGTATAGGAAAAGTGTCCAGCCTCGTCGTGACACTGTTGACAAATTTTCCACCTCGCTTCCTTTGGAACTGCCCATCTCAAGTTACCTTCGATCTTCCTATATATTTTTCCTTCTTTAAGCTCGTAGTTTCCCCTGATGTCCTTTGCTTCCTGACTTTTAGTATC